TCAAAAATGGAGGACCACTTATCAAGAGCACATGCTGACAAAAAAAGTAAGCCACTGTCATTATTTCAAGCACTTAAAGAAAAACTAGAGAAAAGGCCAACCATAAGATCGTTGTTTGCGTCATCATCTATGCAAGACGTTGATGGTTTACGAGTGTCCTATAATATATCTTTACTGATAGCGAAGTCGGGGAAATCCCACACAATTGGAGAATAGCTTAATTTACCAGCCATTGCAGAGGTACTCAACAATGTATTGCACGAGCCCGCACATGATATTATAAAGAGAGTTCCTTTGAGCAATAACACCGTTCAGAGACGAATAGACGAGATGGGTCGAGACGTGGAAAACATTTTATACAATTTCTTACAGACCAACAGATTCTCTCACCAGTTGGACAAGTCTGCATTACCCGGCTATGAAGCTCCGTTATTAGGATATATTTGATATATTAAAGATGAAAATATGTGCCAAGAATTGCTTTTTGCTATATATTTAGAGACTGATACCAGAGGATAATCGATTTTTCAGGCCGTGGAACTTTTTTTCCCGACAGAGCTATTCCATGGAAGAAGATTGTTTCTGTTGTGACTGATGGTGCACCATCTATGGTTGGTCGTCATCGTGGTTTTATAGCTCACTTAAAGCGACAACTGCCTGAGGTACTGGTCATTCACAGACAGCATTAAGGTGCAAAACATTTGAGTCCTAGATTGCACCAGTCTTTACAATATGTTAGAAATGCTGTCAACAAGATTCGAAGCAATTCTTTGAACTCTCGGTTATTTTCTCAGCTATATGAGCAAAACCACGAAGTTACATCTGCACACTGAAGTTCGTTGACTATTAAGAGGCTCCTGCTTAGCAAGATTTTCAGCTATTTTTGAATTTGTGTTTTCACAAGAAAAAGATCCGAATTTAAAAGAAAATCTGAACAATTGTAAAACAGATATTTATTACTTGACTCATACCTTTGGTATGTTTAACAAAGTTAATTTGCAGCTGCAGGGTGACAATCTCAACTTAATTAAAACAAAACAATAATATAGGCCTTTGTGGGTAAACTTATCCTTTATAAACAAAATTTAAGCAGAAAAAAAATATTCACAGTTTCCGCATTTGTCAAAATTACCAGAAATGTTTCAAGACGATGTTATTTTATCACATGTCATCACTTGGATGCATTACAAAAGGATTTTACTAAAAGGTGATCGCTTAAGTTTACAAATTCCTCAATAAATAATACATTCATCAATATCACAGTAAGGGCGGCTCCAAGAGGAATTTTCGGGGGGGGGGCATTACCTTTAGCCTTTCCCTTTTTAGCATATTTTTTTAATAAAAGACCCATAAATCGTAAGAATTTTCACGGGGGGGGGGGGGGGGGGGCATGGCTCCTATAGCCCCCCCCCCCCCCCCTGGAGCCGCCCTTGTATCACAGCCTTGCAAGAAGAGTTGATCACCATCAGCACAGACGAGGAGCTTAAGCAGAAGTTCAACCAAGGCTATCAGAAGTTCTGGTTGCAGCGCAACATTGAAACACAGTATTCTGTATTGTGGAACATTGCTGAAAAATACGTTATCGCTTTTTCATCATCTTACCTAGTCGAAAAAGGCTTCAGTGTGGTTAACATTTCGAAAAAAAAAAAAAAAAGAAACCGTTTGAAAATCAACGAACGCGGAGATTTAAGGCCGCAACTCACCAATATTGAATCAGATTTAGCTGAATTTTTTATTTTTTACTTACTTATTTTTACGTAATTTGTATTAATAATTATTAATTACACTTGAAATACTGAATTTTATATTTATTTTGTTTAAAGTTTTTAAATCTATAAATATTTTGTATCAATAGGAAAAAATCTAGAAATAGGATTTTTAAATTAAATTAGCTATGGTGGTCTAAGGTATTAGTTTATTTAGGAAAAGAGATCTCTTGCCCAAAATAGTTTGGGATTCCCTGTTCTAGAAGATTCGAAAGACATAGAAAGAAGCAAACAAATATAAATCGTCGTCCAGTTTACCGATTCGCCGGCCGATATTTCATTTGACTGCATCTCGCACATTGTATCAGTCGGTTCGCTGGTCGGAGGAGTTTGCATTAGACTTGCATTTCACACCAAATACATGCCATCAACATATTAATAAACTCGAGGCATTTTTGCCGTGCAATTATATATTAACTGTTCTTATCAGCTCATTTACTTTAGTTACCAAGTGATTGATTTTCTGGGCAAATTCATATTTACAAATGTGATAATCATTGCTGAACTTGAAATGTGCTTTTAGTGAATCCACAAATTCAGAGAAAGTGTTTATGGAATCACTCAACACCAGGTAACTTTAATTAAAGGTATACAGTCGCACTATGTTTGGCCAAGCAGGACCGTCTTTAAAAAGCGTACTATAATCGGCATACACTCTCAAGCTCCTTATATTACACTGTTTAAATGCGCTGCATTAGTGTGACATAATTTGTGTGCCGAAAAAAAAAACAGTTTGTTATTGATTTTGACATACAGCGTAAATCCTAATCATATAGATACTTTCCACTTACTCCATATACCCCGTTCTTCTCAATCTAATTATTGTTTAAGCAAACTGCAAGTGATTAACTAAAAGGTTTTAGCAATATGCAATCTCCTTTTATAAATATTTCCGTTTGCATTAGAGAAACTTATCGATGGTTTTGCAATTAATCTAAAATACAATACCTATTTCTATCATAAAATCATTTAATGAAAGTTTCTGACTTCCTTTTATTTGAATAACTAATAATAAACGGAATCAGTATTCCATACAGCACGTTCCTCGAAGAAGAAAAAATTATGTTTTTTTTTCTTCCATTTAGAATTCCCAGTGAGAAAAGTAACTATTTATCTCACTTTCGAGGTTAATGTTCTATCATGTTTCTGACCCCTTGTATTTCTCTAGGGCCGCTTTGTTCTTTATATTTTTATTACTTTTTCCATTTTATTTCAAAGAGAACACTTTTACAGATTGGCCGCAAACTTCATTATTTTGCCATTACTAATATTTAAATAAATATAAAGATCTAATACTAAAATGAAAAATCTTATTTTACCCTTTACACATAGCACTGTCAAAAGAATGTAGATTGTATTGGTTGAAAACGTTTTGTAACCTACCGCATCCAGGTACCTTAATAATTTATTAATTCCATTTATTAAATATAATATTGCATTCTTATTAAATTCCAATTAAATATAATATTGCATTCTTATTAAATTCCAAATCCATCATTTAACGAAAAATCTCCCAGATAATTAAATCTTATTTACGACACCAAATAAATAATAGCTATAACCACGTCCGTAATATATCCACGTGTCTCTGAGAACCAGCCCAAAGAAAATATTTCTTTCACGAAGTAATTATCATTAAAACACTTAACTCGCTTATCTTGCTAGTTTCGATGTTAAGACCTATTTCGACAATATTTCGATACAAAAAGCTTTCAAGGCACATAATAAATAACCCACCCCCTTTTGCACCCACATTCGTATTTTCTATGAGAACCAAAACGATAGAGACGTCACAAAAACGATTAAACTGTGTATAAAAAGTCTGACAAAAAGGAGGTCATGCAGATTCAATTTTTAGCATTTGATGTGCAAGCATACATTTTATTATTTTACATTCACGCAATCACTTTATTGTCTGTACCCAGTTATATAGCCTGTACCTTTCCTAAACGCTCTTCCTAAACGACGTCTATCCCACAATACCTCCTATTTCCCAAAGGTGTCAACGTCTCGACGCCCAACGTCCTGCCGTCCTACTCCCTACGTCTCGAACGCTGTCACATTCCTCACCATCTAAGTATTTCCTACCGTACACACATTTCGACGCTCAACGTCCCACGCCTTATTTCCGACGCTTGCCGTCCCCAAATATTTCCTTCATAATATCACGTCCCGCACCACCTACATAATTCTACCGTATATCTGTCCCAATACAGTACCGTATTAAATACCTTCCTTTACACCACGACTCTAGGCGTCTCGACGCGAGGCGGCGCCCAACGCCGCGACGTACCTAAATCGACGCCGTCACAACGCTAGATGAAATTGTTACATAATCTAATGTCTGTATTTTCAATGGTGAGTCAAAAGATTTATTAACCTTTCTTTGAGATTCCACCCGGGTTTCGTTTGAGGGCAGGCTTGACATTTGCTGTAAAATATTATCAATAAACCACATGGCCTTCAGGTCATACACCCCGAAAGACAGGATAGACATCTGTTTTTCGATGGGTGAAATTTTGAGTATTTTAATAGAAATTATAAAAATCAATATTAAGAAATATACAGGGTTGGATTAAGTTATTTCAATAGAAATTATGATAATTAATATTAAAACATATACAGGGTTGTATTAAGTCATATCAATAGAAATTATAAAAATCAATATTTTGGAAATATACAGGGTTGTGCTATCTTGGCTAAATTGTACAAACCAAGATGGTAAAATTTAATAGTAAGTTAAGCAACTGGCGAATACGCTGTTCGTTAGCTCAAGGGGGGGACACCTATACGCTAAGCAATCCGTTCTACAAGGTTTGAAACAAAGTATATGTGAAATCAACATAGTAAGGTAATCAACTGGCGAATTGACGCTGTTTGTTACTTCCGTTGGTCATCACCTCTATACTCATCGTAATATTTACCTAAGAGGGTTCAACCTGTATATATCTAGAATAGAATCAAATCAACATCAACTCAATAGTTAACCAACAAAAGGCCAAATACAGTAAGTATAGAATTTAAAATAAAATAAACTTGTGAGGTAAATAAAAACATTTTAAAGAGAGTAAAAATAATGAACAAAAACAAAATAAAGAAGGGACAGGGGGTAGGCCTTCACAGTTTTAACTCTTTACTTTCTAATAACAAATGCTGACTTTTTATTCTATTAGGAGAAAATTTTAAAAATCCATAATTTAGAGGATTTCAGCTACTAAACATTTTTGGACTTACCCATAGCCAGCAAGGCCACCATTTTGACGACAATTTCCGGAGGTTCGCATTCGAAGACGAATGCCTCGACAGCGTATTTTCCAAAACTCAAGCAGATGATGGCCATCTGAGAGGGCTTGAGCACCAGGGTGCTGGCCCAGGAGAATAGAAATGCTGGAGGGGCACCGAAAGCGTCCATGAAGTAAGCGTATTCGGCGCCTGATGAGGTGTTCATCGTGCCCAACTCGGCGTAGGACAGGGCACCTAAAATAAAAAAATAAACATAAATATTCTACACAATGCTTTTAAATTACAGTTTGAATTCCTTCTGTGGTGAGCTACAATTGATGCTACCACACTTTGGGAACATTAATTTTAATTCATTGTTTGCTGATCTGTTTAAATGACTGGAGAACAGCCCATATTTTTATAAAATCGAATCTTCACGTAAATTTCAACAAAATCCTCTTCTCAGGCTCTGTCATAGGATTGTTACTATTCTTGAAGTACGCTGCAGATCTAGGAATCGGCTTAAATAGACCTTTTCATCATGTGATGAGCGCAAGCGCAGCCACCATGTTGAAATAGCGGTAATTCAAATATTTCGTACTGTTTTGATCGACAGTAGCTGGGAAAGCAATATTATCATTACAGACAAATCAATCATTAGAAAAAAATCGTTGATGGTGATTAACTTTTTTATAACTCTGTGGAAGCACATAGTTGTAGCAGTTGAAAAGGTGGTTGAAGTGTCTTGGACGTTTGTTACAAAAGAAAAAGTGGACTGATTGAGAGGTTAGGTGTATCAATACTTCTTAACTGAGTAAAAAATTAATGGAAACAAATAATAATTATAACTCTATTCTAATTAATTATGCCAACCAACTATTAGTACTTGCAAAAATACTTTAATTAACATGAAAGTTAATCACGATTATATTTAATAAAATACATTATTTAATATTTTGAGGAACAACATGGCATTTTTAATCATATTACTGTGTATACCGAAGTAGTATTTAATATTAAAAAAATATTGTGTAATACCAGATAAGAATTTTCTTCTGTTTGACCACTTTCTATATGAAAATGTAGTAATCAAATATAAGAATCTTTAGTAACATTATCAATCGATCGAAAACCGTTGTCACTTCGACCACATTTTTTCGTACCTAATACACATTTTGAACGTGTTTTGATATGGATTTTGCCTGAATTTGATAATTTTTTACGATATTGCAGCCAAGGCTTTGGAAAATGTATAAAATAATGATTGAATGATTTATACCATGTGTCACTTTTACATACTCCATAACAACACCGTTTCGTTATTCCTTTCCGTACAGATAACATAAGTATTCTAATTTATTGCAAAAATGTATTTTTCAATTAAGACGCTAAACTTGTTATTACTTTGCTTTTTCTTCCTTTTTTTAAATGAATATACTTAATATATTATTTATCGATTATAATTTTTTTCACGTGGTCATTTTAACATGCTTGTTTACAAAAACAGTACGAAAAAGATGGCTGACACTGATGCATGCGCACAAACAAAATTGTGATGAAAAGGCCTATTGAAATAGTTCAAGATACGCAGAAGACACTAAGATATACTTCATCTCTCTAAAAGTCTCGGCCAAGTTACAAAAATATCTTCACACGCTAGTTTAGATTGGTTTGCTAAATCTAATTCTAGAGAAAAGAAAAAGTCCAAAATAGAAACGACTGCAACTAAGATCAAAAAAGTTCCAACAGTAGAAAATAAGACTAAAAGGTCAAAAAGAAAATTGGTGCTTCAAAAACAACTGCATTAATTTCTTCGGTTGCCCTAGAAGTTCCAACACAAAAACCAAAAACTACGAAATTAGCCAGTTTTCCAAAAGAAAGATAAAGAAGAAATAAATTGACATTACTTATTATACTCTTCACACAGTAGTCTGTGAAGAGTGTTACGCATTCGCTTCATCCGTCCGTCCGATGTCACATTTTTTGTCCGCACGATAAGTCAAAAACAAAAGATATTAATTTGAAAATTTCAGGAAAAATCAAGCTATATAAGGGGACGAAGCCAATTAATTAAAAAAAAAACTAATTGAAATAGAAAAAAAATCAAAAATCAAAAACAAAAAGTGATATCGATCATGAAATTTTTAGTAAAAATCAAGCTCTATAAGAAGATTGATTCTGAAAAAATCTCAATTAAATCAAAAATGAAAAGCTATATCAACATGAAATGTTTAGCAAAAATCAAGCTCTACATAGCAATGAAGCCTATTGATTCTGAAAAAAAAAAAATCTGAATATAAATGGGGTGTCAAGGAGGGCTTGAAAGTAGAAAAAAATCAAAAACCAAAAGCAATATCAACATAAAATTTTTAGTAAAAATTAAGCTCTATAAGAAGACAAAGCCTATTAATTCTGAAAAAAAGTCTGACTAAAAATGAGGGATAAGGATGATTGAAATTAGGACTGGGCAATTATCAAAATAAATAATCGATTAATCGAAAATAATCTTTTAGTCGAAAATAATTGATTAATCGAAAATAATCGATTAATCTAAATTAATCGAAATTATTCGAATAATCGACTAATTAAAAATAATCGTCTAATCGAAAATAAATGATTAATCAAAAAGAATAGATTATTCGAAAATAATCGATTAATCGAAAAGAATAGATCATTAGAAAATAACCGAATAATCTAAAAAATCGATAAATCTAAAATAATCGTTTAATCGAAAATAATCGATTAATCGAAAATAATAAATTATTCGAAAATAATCGATTATTCTAAAATAATCGATTATTTGAAAATATTTAATTGAAAATAATCGTTTTCTATTAGAAAAAAATTACGTCAGATTTACAAAGACCCCCCTCTCCCCCAAGTGTGATTTGGAAAGGTTTAGCTTGATCCCCTCCCCCCTTGAACACCTCACGTAATTAATGGACGCCCCCTAATCAAAAATAACCGATTAATCGAAAATAAACAATTATTCGAAAATAATCTACTATTCGAAAATAATGGATTATTCGAAAATAATCGAAAGAAATCGATTAGCCGAAAATAATCTATTAATCGAAAGTAATCGATTGATCAAAAAGAATAGATTATTCGAAAATAATCGATAAATCGAAAATAATCTGTTATCGATTAAAAAAATATATTAAATCGATTATTAAACGATTAGGCTAAAATAATCGATTAGGTATTTGTAAATAATCAATTAATCAAGAGCAATCGATAAATTAAAAATAATCGATTAATCGAAAATAATTGATTATCAATTAAAAAATATAATAATCTATTACTAATCGATTAGTCTAAAATAATCGATTAATTGAAATTAATCTATTAATCGAAACTAATAGATTAATCGAAAATAATCTATTATTATCGATAAAAATATAATAAACAATTATTTTGCCCGCCCCAAGTTGATATATAGAAAAAAATCCTAATTCCGAAACAAAAAACGATATTAAAATGAAATCTTTAGAAAAAAATCAAGCTTTATAAGGTGATGAAGCCTATTGACTCTGAAAAAAAAAACTAAAAAATGAGAGTCAAGGTGGTTGAAATTTTTAAAAAATCCTATCTTAAGAACGAAAAACAATATCAACTTGAAATTTTTAAGAAAATATCAAGCTCTATATGAGGACAAAGCTTATGATTAAAAAAAAATTGTAAACAAAATGGAGGGTTAACCCTTAAGGAGGGTTGAAATACCAACAAATAGAAATCAAACACAAAAAGCGATATCAACATGAAAAAATCAAGATTTCTAAGCGGATAAAGCCTATTCATTCTGAAAAAAATGTAATAAAATAAGGGGTTAAGGGGGGCGGGGTCTGTTAAACTGTGAAGAGTATAATACAGAATGCCAAGCATTATATATCTTCATTCTAATTTACTTTCTGTTTATGTATTTATTTTTTCAAACGAAAATGATTATCGTGGGTGCACAAGACGGGTTCTGACTAACTCCAAATTATAGGGCACGGTCCTGTTTCTTTTAACTGCAGAACGTAATATCCGTCAACTTTGCGGTAATGAAAATTCCTTTAAGTTGCACTGTAAACACACTTGTAAAATCTGATGTTTGCCAACGGCTTAACAGTTTCATTTGATATCTAGTCAAGTATCTAGCTGTAGTGGAAGGATGTATGGAAAGGTCCTTCAATCATCTTTTATGTAGGATCTAGTGTGGAAATATGTCATAGGAAGATTAGTTTTCATTCGATTTTTATTCTTGAAAAGGGAGAATTGAATAATTTGCTCAGTTCCCCCACGTTTGTAACTCTAAGTAATTTTATTCGTTCTTATAGGTAGTGCGAGCATGGAGGACGGATAGTTAGGAGTTGCCGTATCTTTGTAGAAACTTGGCAACAAGTTTGCTTGCAGCGACCTGTAATGTTAACTATTCAACTAATACTCTGTTGGTAATGTATGTATAGTTACCCGTATTACCATATTTAATTTGAAAATTGGCGGGCTTATTTTACTTCCACTAAGAGGAGAATTTATTTTACCAATTATTATTTTCCAGCTAATACGAAACATAAGCATCCAAAATTTCAGTTTATTTTTTTCATATTTAGTGAAAGAAAAAACATGTAAGTGAAGGCGGTAGACATTATTTTTCTCTGGAGCAATTTTTTTAAAATTTGGTCAATTTTGATGGCAAAAATCGCAAAATTTTCAGAAAATAATTAAATCAGATTTCGGATTAGTGGCTCCAGAGAAACAGATATTTCACTTTTACTTAAATGTACAAATTGGCGGAGACGCCTGTCTAATAAATGGTGAGAAGGAGAATAATCTAGCGCCTACACCAATTTATGCATAAATACACACAAAAGTTATATTTATATATATATATATATATATATATATATATATATATATATATATATATATATATATATATATATATATATATATATATATATAAATGGACTGTGTTGCACAGTAAGTTAGTCAGTCGAAGTCGAGTCATAGCAGTGCAAACATCGATAAAGTAAATATGATATAAATTAGTATAAATAAATTATAAATATAAATAATGATTAAGTATTAAATAAATTAATTAGCACGTAGTATAAATAAAGGATAATCAAACTGTTTAAAATAAATAAACTATTTTTAAATTGTTGGAAACTATCCAACACAATGCAAATCTAGGGAATTATATAATTTACCATTGGCAATTAGAACTAGTGATAGTTAGGCTAGTAACTTATTTTCTGCTAGTCACATAT